AATTCTGACGTTCGTATTCACTACAAGAAATGTAAAATATTTACTTTGATCCGTCAAAATTTTCTCTTTTCTATCAATCCACGGAAAGCTTTATCAAAACTCGGTAAAAGTGCACTTTAGCGAAACCAGGCCAACATTTATGAAAAATTCGAGAGAGGAAATCAACGTTTTTAATTCACTAAAGAGTTATTTGCAAAAAAGACTCGCACTTTTCGCACTATGTTTTGATTTGTATTGTGGCGAATACTGCGGCAACGCAAAGCGAACAACGAGAAATAGGCAGAATGTTCGAATAATGACGTAGAATGTTCCACAAAGAGAAACGTCAAGTTGGATGAACACTGCGAACAGCGAGAGAAAGAGAATGAGCGATAAACTTCAGAATATTCTAGAGTTGCCATAAGTGCCAGCGCAGGTATATAAGGGCGCCGCCACCACGAGGTGAGTTAGTTACAAGACAGCAAGCTACAAGTAAAGTGAGCGGAGAATTGAGTTGCGAATAAGCAAGCTATAAGTTTAATTGTGTTAACAAGTAGTAAAGCGTTGTTATTGCTTTAACAAGTATTGTAAAGGGTTTTTACTGTATTAGCAAGTATTGTAAATTGTTTGTTGTACAATAAAGTTAATTGTACTACAATTTGGTCATCGTCAGCATTTATTTAACAATCCAGCGATACGAGGCCGAGTATATTTGGGAAATCCCATGGTGTAATGAACTGAAGGTGGCGCATTCCCGAAACCGCTACTTTGGTTTTGCCGACTTTGACGTTTATGGCAATACGTAAACAAACTTTTTGTTTATAAACAAGTGCAAACGTATTGCAAACGTATTGTGTATTTTCTAGTGAAAAATCGAAGTAATTCGTGCGTTCTGAAGTAAAAAACATTTTATTTGTAATAAAAACTTTATAAAAATGTCGTGTCGTGTGTTGAATTGCAGCAGCCGTAGGGGTAAAGGCCCTAAATGCAGATTTCTTTGTTTCCCCGCGACGACGCCTTGGCCAGAAAGTGGGTAGAGTTCTGCCGGCAGGAGAAGCCATACAATTTAGACACCAGCGTTATATGCATGAAGCACTTTACGGATAAGGATTACATGAGTAACTATCATTTATTTTCATTACTTATATATGTCGATATCTAATAAAAGACTTACGAACTGCTAGTCGACCATCGCTTCGCCGCGACGCCATGCCAACCATTTTTGAGTGGGAAATAGATCCTGCTCCGGTGTGTGAGTCACAAAATGACAGCGCTGAGGAGATCATTGAGCTACAAAATTGCGAAGGTAGCAAATATTATACTATAAATATTATATTATTAATGTCAGTGGTTTATTAGTTGGTTTAAATGAAGGCGATAAAGTATATCGGCCCAGGGACGGTACTCTTGATGTTTCGACGTCACCTATCCGTAACTGTGTTTACTATGATAGTGATCTTCAGGAAGTGGAAGTGTTGAAAGTGGAAGTGTACGTTAATAAGTAACAGATCTTTATGTGTAAATGTAATAATATCTTATATTTCTCTTATTTGAAGTGAGACATTCAAGCGCGAAAATGCACACCTCAAAAAGGAAACCGAAAAGCAGTGCACCGAGCTCGCTACATTGAAGCGGGAGTCCGACCTGCAATTGAAGAGACACGCATGGAAAATGGAGTCACTGCAAAAACGTTTGGATGAAATGGCTGCCCAAATGAAAAATGTGGAAGATGCACTAGCTTCCATCTTCACCAAAGGGCAGATAGCGAAGCTGAAGTCTGGGTCGAAGCGACGAAAATGGGCGGAAGAGGATATTGCGAAGTCAATATCGTTGTATGCTGCCAGTCCTAAAGCATACAGGTTGCTATATAAGCAATGCCTTCCACTCCCATCGGCCCGCACACTTCAAAGTTGGGCACAAAAACTGGACATTTCGCGCGGACTTATAACCCCAGTCTTCCGGTTTTTGGCCGCCGCTACCCACATGAACGAGGCACAGAAGCTATGCGTGTTGAGTTTCGACGAAATGAAAGTAAGACAATCTTACTGTTACGATGTTTCGTCGATGTCCGTCAACTACGTACAGGAAGCGATGTTAAGAGGTAAACATTACAATCAAGATTTTATAGAATATCAAACCTTTATTAAGGCCTTTTATATTTCAGGTCTCATGGCAAAGTGGAAACAGCCAATCTTTTATGACTTCGACTGCAAAATGACTTCCGTTTTGCTTCGAAGCATGTTGCAGAAGTCAAAAGATTGCGGCTATAACGCAGTGGCTGTCGTATGCGATCTTGGAGGTACCAATAGGGCCCTATTTAATGATCTAGGCGTAACTGAAGACCAGCCGTGGTAAATAATCACAATTAAACTTATT